GAAAATTCTGAAGATTTTAAGTAATCCAGAGAGCGCAAGATAAGAAATAATGACTAGCAATAAACTATTTCAAAACTCCTCTGATGCAAAGTAAACTTGTATTGCTTAAGCTGACTGTGACTTACAGTTAAGAGGCTGAAACTTCTTAAAACTTGTTCATGCTAAGCACACTAAAAATAAATATTTCATTCCGCTTCCCTATTTAAATATGGGAACAAGTATACTGACCATAACTCATCTGTACCAGAACAAACTTATTCTACAGTTGTGCATCTTCACTTGGAAAAAGCAAGCCTGTTGAGTAGACAGACAAATCTTATGTCTAATCACACCACGAAGCACATCAAATAGGCAATGCAACAAGTAAATAAACCAGATGAATACACCTGAAAGAGCTTGTAATGTATGAATTTGGCAGGACAAGCATCACGTTGCAATGTGACCAGTGCAGAGTTAAGAAAATTAATAGAGAAAATGCAGAATTAATGGTGCAACAAAACCAAAACACATCTAAAAAAAAACAAAACCAAAGGGGCAAGTTTCAAAATGAAACAGGAAAGAAATGTACGTACTCTGGAGCAAACTTGTCCAGCCTCTTGAAGAGTTCATTTTTAATTTCCTGATTCTCCACAATGGCTTCAATTACCAGATCTGTGCTGTGAACCACCGCTACTGCATCTGTGCTTGTTGTGAGGTTCTTTAAAGTCTTCTCAACGAACTCAGCACCAGCCTGAAATGTTCCAAGAATGTGCAATAATTATTTCTTTTTACATGAAAGCCCCCATCTATGCTCTGAAGCCCTCAGAACTTTAAGCATGCTGCTATATTTCCAAGTCAATCAGAAAGTTCCAAACACGTAGAGATATAATGCTTTCACTGACACAAAATTTTCTAAAAAAATCAAATCTACTTTGAAGTAAACAGGAGGTCCTTGAAATTATTAATAACAGGAAGACTTCAACTTTAGAGTATAAGTGAACAACTGACTGGTCCATCAGTACTTTCTGAGAGAATCTGGACTTGCCCTTCACAGAGAGGAATTTCTATTTCAAACCTCTGCATTGTTTCCACTCAGTAAAGTAATGCTTTGGTCTCACAATTCACTTCTATGATATGTACTAGCTCATTCAAGTGAAATAGCCTGCACTCTGCTATAGATTTCCACTGAGAATGAGGTGGGTAGGAGGGAGAGGATTTTATCTTCTATCAAAGATGCCAATCACTGACAGCCATTGGTGAGGATGGAAATAAAAAATTCCCAAGACTTTGAATGAAAAAGCAGAAATGTTATACAAGAGAAGTCATACCTGTACACTAGCACATAATGTCATATATTTACCATACAAAATTTTCTTCTGGATTAAAAGACTCCCCGTAATTATGCATGATAAGATATATTGCTCTGGATATCCTGTAATTATTGTAATTTGCCTTCTGTATTCATGCAAACAAACTCTTTCTCATTTTCCTTGCCTTACTGCACTGCTCATGCTATTAACTGCAAATACCAGTATATAATTATGTATGTAAGTATATGTAAGCCAGTATATCAGCATGTTCTGTAATGCATAACTACAAACAACATCAGAACTTCCATACAGTAGTTTCATTCTTCTATGTTTTCCCAACAGTAGAAATAAAAAGATATCAACCTCAGGCTTATCCGCAAACTTCTTCTTAGTCACTCTCTTCAAACTCTCTTCAATTCCTTTTGTAGATTTCTTAAGGATTTCATCTGACTGGTCTACTAACACCACAGTGTGACCACTTGCTGCTGCAACCTGAAAATTAAAAGAAGATTCAACATCAAGATCATAATCAACCATATTGACTTGTCTAGGGGCAAACAACTGACTAGAATTAAGCAAAAGAGAGCTACAAGATATCGAATCAAGAATTACATGCTTGACTAGAAAACATAAAATCCTGCAAACATTTGGGGCAGAAGAGAAAGGCAAAAGGACTAAAACAATTTTAGAGAAAAAGAAATCCATTTATTTCCCTGAGCTGTCTGCCAATGTACACTTGGAGACACACAAGACCCACTCCAACAAAGCTGACTGAAAGGAAGAAAAGTCAATCTCTGGAAGAAAAGGATGGCACCATTTTCATCTGACATTCCACACTAATCCAGCAAAACAAAAAAAATGCCACACAGAAGCACTACAGCTCTAACAAGGTGTTGGTCTGCAGTTGGACATTTCCTTCATCCATCAATTTCTTCATTTTAATAATTTTTCATAGCAGTTATTCATAAAATCCATTGCAACCTAAGAAATTTTTAAACCAAGCCTGAACTTCCATTCCTGACACTTGTCCTGTTGATGATCGTTTGCAATAGCAAAGCAAGATCACCTGCTCTTCAGAAGGAAAGTAAGTCACTATCAAGCACACTTATAAGAAATGCTTCGGTGATTATCCACTTACAGTTATACCAGAACATAGCTGACCAGAGGGTGAAGAATCATTGAAAAATGAAGATGACCCTTTTCCCAGTTCATTCTTACTATGTGTGCATTTAGAGAAAAGAAGAAAAACAGCGAGCGGCCATACCAACTCAAACACACACGTACCTCTTCTATCCAATGATCTTAGCAAATACTACGGATGAAATAACAGCATGAGGGAGTCAATTAATGCTTTTCTCCCATGCTCTTCATATGGCAGAATAAGAAATTATGAACCCCTGGCTTTCAGCCATAACATGGGTTAGTTTCTCCTGATAGGAGGAGAAAGACACAATTTAAGTGTTCTAAGTAAGAGGAAAATCTCCATTAACAGGGCACAGGAGTGACCTCCCTCTGTCGTAATCACACCTGTTTTGAGATAATTTTAGATCGATAAATCAGAGGCAGGTGGTCAGCAAAAAAAAAAAAGTCATTGGTCTTTAACAGAAGACTGCAACTTCTGTTACTAACAAACACCATACGTTTCTCTTGATTCTCTAAAATGCAATCTAACAGTATAGCAATCTTTCCCTTCAGAATTACAACCCTTACACAGCACGTGTGCTCCTCAAACAAGAGAAGAATTTTCTTCAGAGATATTATTTGAAGGTTCCTTTAGTGGAAGCCTCAAGTTCTAGTATCAAGGTACAGAATCGTAGTGTCATTTGATTAGGAAGAGACAGTTAAGGGCCATCTGGTCCAACCCCCCTGCACTGAACCGGGACACCTACAGCTCCATGTGCACAGAAACCTTCCAGCCTGACCTGGTCTATCTCCAGGGACGGAGCATCCAGCTCCTCTCTGGGCAACCCGTGCCAGTGTCTCACCACTTCTTCCTTACACCCAATCTAAATCTTCTCACTTTTAGCGTGAAACCTTGTCCTGTCACAGCAGACCCTGCTTAAGAGTCTATCCCCTTCCTTCTTACAGCCCCCCTCTGGATAATGAAAGGCCGCGCTCAGGTCTCCCCGGAGCCTTCTCTTCTCCAGGCTGCACAGCCCCAGCTCTCTCAGCCTGCCCTCACAGGGAGGTGTTCCATCCCTTGGGTCATTTTTATGACCTTCTTCTGGATGCACTCTAAGAGGTACTCCTTAGAGTCTTCTCCTGTACTGAAGACTCCCCATCTGGATGCATTACTCCAGGTGAGGTCTCACAGAGCAGAGCAAAGGGCAAGATCACCTCCCTGACCTGCTGGCCGCACTTCTGTTGATGCAGCCCAGGGTATGGTTGGCTTTCTGAGCTGTGAGGACACACCAGAGGCTCATGTCCAGCTGCCATCCACCAGTGCCCTCAGGTCCTTTTCAGCAGTGTCGTGCTCTATCTTTACACCTCCCAGCTTGTACTGATAGATTCTATGATAATATGACTCAAAGTCATTCTTCAAAGGTTCCTTCAGTGGAAGCTTCAACTTCTAGTATCAAAGTACAGAAAAGCGGTCACACACAAGAAGTTAATAAGCAACTCACTGATTTCTAGAGATTTACCACAAAAATAAATCAATGCTTCTGAGAAGGAAATTCTCTAAGCCAATGAAAGGAAGAACTGCAGTTTTCAAATTCACACCTCCCTGCTGGGTTCCACCTGGCAAAAGGGGCAGACATGCGGGCTGCCAGACACCCGTGTTGCTGCTGGGCAGCGCCCTGACAGCTTGGACACAGTGGTCCTTCTGTATGTGAGGAAACGCCCGCAGCTCCCATCACTGGCAGCACCACTCAGTCACACGGCTCTCGGGTTAAAGATGAACTTGAGAGCCAAAGACCAGCGATTAAACGCTGGGAAAGTAAGTCCTCTGTAAATATTAACCACTTGATAGTGCTGCACATGACAGAGGGCCTGATGTTCATCTTCGGCACTGCACGCTATTTAAAGAACCAATAATAGCGTCACTAGCAAGACAGAAGTTTCTTTTTTCAGCTCTGAGTTTTCCAAAAGTAATTACATGCTTTCTGGCTTATAAACAGCCCACGCTCTGTCCTAAAAGCCATCTCAACAACGTAAAACACCGAGTTCGGTCCTTCCCGCCTCTTTGGAAGCGGAGCGAGGCAGCAGCGGCCGCCGCCCCTCTGACCTCGCACAGCCGGAGGCCGAGGAGGCCGCTCCCGCTCCGGGAGAATCTCCGTGGCCACCAGCAGTAGCACAACGCGAACGCGGCGCGGCACCGAGAGGCGGCAGGAGGCCGCGGGACCCGCCGCTGCCGGGCTCGAACCGACGGCTCCGCGGCGCAGCTCTCGCTCCGAGGGACGACCGCCCCGCGGCCGCCATGGCGGCGCCGCCCCGCCGCGCTCACCTGGGCGATGCCGGCGCCCATGAGGCCGCCGCCGATGACCGTCACGTGCTTGACGATCAGCTTCTTGGCGGCCGCCGTGACGGCGGTGGCGGAGGAGGCCGCGCGCACGAAGGGGCGGGTGGCGAAGGCCATGGCAATGGCGAAGGCGCGCGGCGCGGAGCCAGGGGCCCTTCGGCTGCGGGGCCGGGCGGGGCGAGGGCCGCGCTCCGCCCCGGGGAGCGGCTGTCCGGGCCCTGAGCGCTGTGCGCCGGGACGCGCGTGTGTCGGCGCGCTGAGCGGGGCCCGGGAGTAAAAGAACGCCGGGGACGGCGCGGGAGCGTGCTGCTGCGCTGCTATTGCTCCTCGCTAGCACGGGGCGGGCAGCCGGCCCACAGCTGCCGCTCCTCTCTGCGTCCTTCAGCAGCGTCCTTCCCTGGAGCTGTGCCCGCTGCCCCAGCGCCTCCAGGCCACGAGCGCGGCAGCACCTCGGATTTCCAAGCTAGAACGCGCCCAGGGCCGCATCCAACCTGGCCTCGCGCACCAACCCGCCAGGCGTTCCCTTGTAGACGCTACTGACGGAATCCGATCAGATACAGGCTGCCGGCGTTTTCCATCTAGTTCCTTTGAGCCAGCAGCGGCTGCAACAGTAGCATGTATTCCTTGAGCCGGCTTTGGGGTAAACATTAAGTAACTTGTTTTCTCGAACCAAAGTATTCTCCCGTCTGTGCACTTTGCGCTGAAAATTCTCTCACTAAGCCTCATCCAACTGCAGATCAGGCAGGAGTAGCAAGGGGCTGCTAGAAACAGCTTCTCCCAAGTAGACTTGGGGCTACCCAGACCAGGCATGTAATTAAAATCCATAAAAAAGCCTTATGCCAAACTACCTGCACAATAACTCCAGGCTTAAAGCCCAGGACTTCTATAAATAGTCTCCTCTGCACACGGCTGGGTTCACACCCACTTCGTCCCCACAAGTGCTTCAGTTAAGGCCCACCCAACTCTGGACGTCACACCCCCTCGTCTCTGCCCTCCATCTGAGGCTCTCTGACCCCTCTACACAAAACAATCCCTCAGCTCTGCCCACTGGTCTGTTCCTTTCCCACCTTGGTCATCAGACTCTGTGTTTCCTCTTAGCAGCTTCTGCTCTTCCTCAGCTGCGTTCTTCTCAATTAATTCATCCTCAGTAACAGGGTTTTTAAAGCTGTATTATGAGAATAAAGAAGCATATTCTACTACTTGCTCATAACACTCCTGGTATTATACTTTCCCAATTCTACCTTCCCCCCCACCCCTTGACTCTTCATCTCACTCAAAAATGTACAACATGAAATATCAACAATCTTAACCAACAAATAGAATTCATTAAAATGACTGCGCAAAGGTGTCAAACACTTACTTAAGAATGATTTTATTAAACATAAAATTATACCAAAGCAAATTCTGAAGTCATTTCTAGAAATAAAGACATTTTCAGCATTCAGAAATAGCTGTTTGCTTATACAAACATACGTTTTTTTTTCAGTAAGGCATTTGAGATGCTTTGTCTTCTGAAAAAAAAAAATAATAATAATAGGAGGGGATGGATGCATTTACAATATAAACCAAATCTGCTACCACTTTACTTACAGTTTACCACAGATGGCAACACAGTTTTGAACCGCTAATACTTTCTTGCTGTTGTTTAGTTAACTTTCATAGCATTTTACATAAATTCAGTGCATCTGGAAGCAACGAAAGGCAAGTCTTCATTATTATTTCCAACATCATCTTGCATTCTGGCAGACATTGACATGATTGCAGCATCACATCAGTGTTTTCAGCTTGTCATTCTGTGGGTGATTATAGGTATTGCCAAGAAACTGCACTTCCAAAATACTATCTGTAGGAGGCCAACTTTTAAAGGTGACATTTCACACTAAACTCAGCAGGCAAGATGAACACAAATATATGTAATTCCACATACTATGTGTTTATGTGAATTGTGTCTTCTTTGGAATCAGTAAAACAAAACAAAACCAACAAAAAAAAACAACTAAAGTGCTTTTCAAATAAGTCCTCAAGATTAAAAGGACAAATAGATAAATCATCAGTTGCACACCAACATCATTATATTGCTTAAAAAGGCATTTTGACAGAAAGATAAACATTATCAGCACTCAATTCAGCTCTGCAATTAAGCATATACTATTTTAAGGATTTCCAGGCAAAAATCCCAACTGTACATTGTTCACTGGAAAATATAATGCATATTAATCCAATGCAGTCGGCTTTTAGTGCAAGTTCACTAGCATTGGTACCAAACTCAACTTCTCGTGCTATGGGGTTTTCAAAAATTTCAAAAATATGGGCTAACCTATAAAGTCAAAAGCTAGCCTTAAGAAAAACTGGAAGGTCTGACAGAAGTGGTAGGGTACACGAGCAACCAACTGATCACTCAGAAATCACGCCACCGTGTAATTTAAAACAGCTAGCAGAAAACCTTAATTGAAATCCAAAGTATTCTGCAGTCTTTGCCAGGCACTATTTGGCTTTTAAAGATTTGATTTAACGAGAGAGACAAGAATAGAGAGAATTTAAAGCTTAAGAGCTAAATTTTCTTTTACAATTTAGGTTCAATTTCTGCTACAGAATTTTCAATTTCACTTTACAGTTTATTTCACCTTCCAGTCTTGTGAACTTAGCATCTGGAGGACTGCTAGTATTTTCTAGACCTCCAATAAGGGGAAAACATTTCTTAGAAGAGTACATATGTATTTATTTCATCTAATATAAAACTCTGCTAGATCAAAAAGTATATAAAGAGATTGAAGGATGGTAAAGAACAGTTATATAAAGGTTAACAGCTACACATCCCTCAAACATCAGACATTTGAAAACCTTTTAAATAAAAGGCAGTGAGACTGAGCGACTCATTCTGAAATACCTAAAAACAGGCTTCCCTGATGCTCTTTTGATAGTTGTAAACAGCACTAAAATTATACTTGAGGAAAGAATAAGGTTCTGATACACTAATATTATGTGGACTACAGGTCTTTTTACACCATATAGAAGATAACAAAGAAACAGCCTGTCCAGTGAAACCTCAGGTATGTTAGATTCCTAATTTCCATGCCTCAACTTTTAAGGCCTACATCTATAGTACTATGTTGAAATGTGTTTGATGTAAGATTCCAGTTTTCAAAGCCAAAAAAGGTTGTGGCAGTACCATCCACACTGCCTGTAAGGAAGAACCTTAGCGCAAGCCCTAGCTTCAGGATTATCCATGCAGATGTCTTCCTGATGAACAGGCTGGTGGTCTCATCCAGGCTGCAGCCAGAGGACAGACCATCACTTGTGACACAGGCAAAACAGGGAACAGTGTTATCATAGATGTGTAGTCTTGGATACCTGCCTGGCACCAGAGTTCTGCTTTATGTTAGAGAAATTAGCTCTCATTTATATTTAGAAATAAATTATCTCTATTCAGAGGCTGTGCATTCCTTTCATATCCCCAGGTTAAGAACACGGTATATGCAACGATTCACTAGGCCTCCAAATGAACCTGGCATGTGTTTTTTAGAGTTGGTACCTGTATGTTTACAGGAAGCTCTGATACTCAAGGACATCTGGATCCAGGAATAGAGACTGATTTGATCCAGTCTCCACCTGTAAGTTACTCACCAGACAGAATGCTTCAAGGTTATAAGAAGTATCATTTAGTTCTTTCAATAAAGTATTCATTGTTATTTGAACTCCATTACGTTTGTGATGTTTCTTTGCACAGAAAATGCTAACAACACCCTCTTATTCCTTAATTCTTCTATAAGATTATGTCCTTCAGTCATTTGTTAAATTTCACATACTGTTTCATCAAAATAACAATTAAAATTCACTATAGTATTAACAGACTTTTTGGGACCATTCTTACATAATTAACATTTGACAAACAAACAGTATTAGCTTAACAGACAGAGGGTGTAAGCCCAGCAAGTTTTAATATCAAATTGCAAACTGTATCGTCAGTTCATTTGTGGAATGCAACAGCTGACAAAAAAAAAAAAAGTTCTCCATCCAGAATTGCAAATGGATCTTTCTCATTGGTATGAAAGCCTATGCAATTACTGTTTTTCTGGAAAGAAAGTAGCAAAATAAGCTGGAAAGAAAATCAAGCTGGGTTTTAAAAGTGCAGTATTTCTTTGATTATTTGTGATGTTGTATCATCTCTTCAAAGCTATTATTTTGAATGGACAGGGAGCTAAAGTTAGACCAAATCTTCCCTCCATAGATGGTTTTGTAGCATTTTCAGGGTACAAAAAAGTAAAGCTTTGCATTAGACTCGCAAAAATTAAGAACAGCTCCATTTTTGCCAACTGCTCTCCCATGCACACACGTTTACCTAAAGAATAGTTAGAAAGAGACATTATTAGTGCTTTTTATATACTGTTGATTCAGTTGTTAACACACATGCAATTCCTATTCCAAATGCAGAATTGCTCTAGCTATGAGTAAGTTATGGGCTTCCAAAACTTTGGTCTCTGAGTTTTGCTCAGCTTTACCACTTGATATTAACAGTACTTATTCCATAGGAAAAGTATTATCAAAGCAGGATTCATCATTTCTCACTTCTGCTTGGCAACTGCAGCTTTTAAGAACCCAACCCATTTTGCAAACCACCAAATGCAATAATAAAACAAGTCCTGTGAGTCCTTTTAAATCTCACACCTCTGAGGCCCTACACTGGATAAAACAGTATGTTCGTATCTTACCCATTCCAAAAGGAATGAATGCCTCTTTCTTAATTATCTGGCCATTTTCATCCAGAAATCTTGTTGGTTGAAAGTCATCTGGGTTCTCCCAGATATTAGGATCTCTGTGCACCGACCACAAGTTGGGCACGATCACACTGCCCTTTGGAATAGTATATCCCTGCAGCACTTCAAAAAAAAAAAAAAAAAGCACAAAGACAGAGGATTTGATAAGCTGCTAGAAGCAAACACAGGAGACTTATTAAAAAAAGAAAACATCACAAAAAATGATATGGATCTGTAGCTGTGGGTTACAAATGTAGCAGGCACTTGAAGCAAAGGTGACCTGTGCTAGCCCGGCTGGGTCACCATCACACAGGCCAGAGCAGCTGGAAAGAAACCATGTTATGGCAACAGCTCCCTGCAGGGAAAAGGCAGCTGAGAAGCTCCAAAGCCTCCCTCAGCATGCCAATACCACAGAAGCAGTCATTAGAAATGCACTCTGCTGAATGGAAATGCTGTGACCTAGCTTCCTCCCAGTTCTCTGCTGTTACAGAACATCTGTGCAGAGATGATGGAGGTAAGGAAGAGGCATGTGTTTTGAACTGTATTCACTAAAGGGTTGTGAAGTGACTAGTCTCATTTAAGCTTGTTGCACCTTATTGTTCCGCAAGCCAAAACACTAAAAAAAATCAAACCAATTCAGAATAGGATTTGAAAACCAAGTATTGCTACCTCTCCCTGACTTAAACCAGTTCTCAGCTACAGCCAACAAAAGGACTTTAGAAAATATATTTATTATTATTATTTCTGCTGTATATGCCTTTTAAGTTTTAGCAAATCAGTTAATTGTAAGTAAATTTTTCAGATCTCTATGTCAGATGGCCAAAAGCAACTCCAGGTACAAAGATAGACTCAGCTTCCAACTACCGCAAATCACATCAGCCAACATAATCTGACCCCCCAAAAAAGAAATCTCTCTAAATTAGAGAGACATTCTGGACATCAGGTCAAGCATGCTGCTTACCTTAACAAATATCTCAAGCCCAGCCATTCTTTATACAAATGGCATTTTACATACTTGAGCTACAAGTTTTAATAGACAAATGAGGTCTCTGTAAATTTCACCAGATGTCCCATCAGACCTTCATCCGCAAAAGAAACACAGTACTAAGCCTCAACAAATGCTTACCAGCAGTTTCTGAAGCCATTCGTGGGATAGAAAGGGGAACAACTGCAGTCATCCTCTGCACTTCCATAATTGTTGCCTCTGTGAAGGGCATTTGAGCCTTGTGGGTAAGAGAGGGAACTTTGTCACGACCTAGAACTGCTTCAATTTCTGCATGAACTTTCTCTATTCAAAGAGAGTGATAAAAAAAAAATAAGTACAATATGTGAGAAGGCATAATCTTAATTTCACTTATCTGTGCTTCAGTGTTTAAATAGATTTGTCAAAAATGACTACAATGCATGATCTTCTAGCCAAAATAACTATGGCAGCAAAAGCCTACAGAACAGTCTCAGCAACGAAGAAACCAAACAGAATCTTGACAACTGTCCAGAGTAAAGCTACAGAGAGGACAGTGCTACTATTTTGGCTAAGCACAGGAAAAGTTCTGTTTCAGTTCCAAATGTAGTTGTAACCTTAGTTAACAGTTTAACTACACAGTAGCTTGAATAGTCCAAACATTAAGAGTCTGGCCTGCCTTAAAAAAAATTTTTAAAAAAAAGAAAGAAAGAAATAAAAGAAAAAAAAGAAGACAGCATAGACTGTATAACCCAGCTAGTCGCTGGCCCCTGCAAAAAGTCAGTTTTCAGAACTGGAAAAGGTGATGAAGAGAAGGAAAAGCTTTAAATGTGGTTGCTCTGGGTACTTCATTCTGGAGCAAGAATTCTGGTGCTGTTACTGCAGGCATTACAGCCATACAACTCTTGTTCTGCTGTCTCCCACTTTCTACTCACAGAACCTAAACTCAGCTATTTCTCATTTACCCAGGAAGGCATCAGACGTTCCATCACATCACATGTTTTCCCACATGAAAAACAGAAGTTATTGAACTCGTCTCCACTCTCATGAAAAACAGAAAGTTTTAAAACACTTGCTCCCCCTGTCGTCTCACTAAAGGCTCAGCATGCAAGGAAGTCGATTAAGAGAAGTTTCAAAGACACGAGATTTGTTCTGCCCTTGGACTGGACGATGCTGCTTTTTTTCCAGGTAACTCAGAATCTGGCTACAGAGCAATAGAAAATCCTGAGAGAGAAGATCTCAAAATCAACTTTTCATTAAAAAGAAAGTCCATTCTATTTTTTTTTTCCCTTGTTACCCTGAACATTTTGTGCTTGACCTGCTTGCCTTTTCCAAGATTCCCCAGCACTGATACAAGATTCTCACTGATTCACTGTTTTCAGAGACAGAGGAGCAATCAGAAATATCATATGGGTAGTGATGAGTGAATGCTTGCTGCCACCTACTGGGATTGCTGGGGAAACAAATTCTCATGTAAAGAACACAAGAAGAAATCGCTAAACAATAATGGATCTGTCAATAGTGTGACCCGTGAGTACCTGGTCTGTGGGTTTTGCTACTTGTTTCATTTTTATTTATTTTTTTACTGGCACATCATAGCCCTGCATTCAGGTATGCACATTAACAGTAATTTAAATGAGAATTAAAAAAAAGAAAAATTAAGGAGACTGACTGTTTCAATGCCAAATGTCATACCACTGTCTTATCATCAACAACCCTTCCTAGGAGTTTGTGAAGATATGTGGAATTATACAGAGAGTAGCCAAAATGCTGCAGCCATTCATTTCCATTTCCTGAAACTATCTGCCTGTCTGCCTGCATTTACCACTGCTGCATTTTCTTGCATTCCCCTTAAGGGACAGGAGAAAAATTACTGGGGGGGGGAGGGGGGAGGAAGGAGGGCAGAGAAGGAGAGAAAAATAAGGTCCATGCATTAATTCCCAAGCAAACGGGAGACATAAGGAATGGGATATTAAAAGTAAGGGAATTATATTACATAGCTAAGTGATACACATGCTCTAGGGTACTGAGCTTAAACATACTGTTTAACAACAGCCATGGCATATGGAGAAAGGTAAATAGAGAAAGGTAGTAGAAGTGGTAGAAAACTGAAGTAAAGAGAAAAATAATTATCACATGTTAATTAGCAGACAAGAGGGAAGGGGGATTCAAACAAACAAACAAACTCAACACACAAAACCCATCCAGCTCTCACTTGTATAATTTAGAACATATCTAATTCTTGTAACAACCTATCAAGTCCAGCACTGATAACACACAACCATTAAATAATAGAAGGAGCCCATGCAATTTGTCCTCTGTGAACTCTGTCTTGTATATACTGAACTGATACCCTATTTTGCAATCTTTGTCCAACAACTTGTATTGACTTTGTACAATAAACTATGATCTTGACCTACTTAAAAAGATTACTGCAGAGAGGTACTGTAAACAAGTACCCATTGGCTAATTTGTAAAGCAGCTGCAGTACAGGATAACTTCAAAATTTCAGGTATTTTATAAAAGTATTCCTGCTTTATATTGCTCTTAGATAACTTGAGTTTTACTCTTTGTTCCAGGTTAGCAAGAAGCCTTGGCAAAAGGGAAGTGGTTCACTATTATGAAATGAAGTAGAATTACCAAATGGAATCTGTCCATTCTGCTGAGGTTTCAGTCTGTGTATATCTAACAATCATTTTAGTGGAAAGCATTTGCTGTGCAGGACTTTGTGAGATGCTGCTAATAAGTTAATAAACCAGTTGCTTTATTTTGTTTAAATTCAACAGATTAGATTTGATAAATAGGACCAAAAAATGTTGCCTTTGCAATGACATGTACTGTAGCAAGACCCAGTATAAAAGATATTTAATCAAAATGAACTGTAATTCTTTGGCAATGAAAACTTATCTCAAGAAATCCTGAAATATAACTCTAGCAAGTATGATTTTAATAGCATAATGTCTCCAGTACCACCAGTATTTTTTTGTATTTGCAACAACACACAAGGCATTCTCAAGAATTCTATCACAAATATGAACATGCCTGCATCACTGCCAAAAAAACTGGGGTTGCAAGGAACCTCTGGAGGTCATCTGATCCAAATCATTACCCATAGCCAAGTCACCTTCCCAATCAGATATAACTTGGAAGGTAGATCATACTACTCATACTCATACTCATACTACTCAGAGTCATAGCCCATCAAGTTTTAAATACTTTCAAAGTCATAAATTTTATAACTCTAGAGGTTATCTGTTGCAGTCCTTGCTGTCTTCATAGAAGACAGTAGAAGCAGTATTTAATTCTCTTGTAGATTCTCTCTGCTGCCTCCCTTCAATCCCTTCACTGCTCACCTCCAAAAAGACTGCCTCCATCTCTCCAGCATCTTCTAATTAGACAGTTGCATGCAGCAGGTCTGCCCTCCTTTCCCTATTACTGAATACTCCCAGTTCCTTCTGTGTCACCAAATGGGCCATGTACTCCATGCCCTGTCCACCTTGCTGGCCCTTTGATTGGCTTGCTCCAGCATTTCAGTACTTCAGGATCCCAAAACTTGACACAGAATTCCAAACACATTTTCCTGTGCCACATAAAAGGTAATAATAAATTCCTCTTCTTGAATACAGGTATGATATTCTCCTCCTCTTCCTCCCTTTCATATGCAACCTTCTCAGCAGTCATAACCATTTAGAAAGAAGTCTTGCAGAAACATCAGCAATCTCCCTCAGATGTATCCCAGCTGGCCCCAAGGCCTTGTGAAGGCCCAAATTGCCTAAGTCACCTCTACAGTGGATAGTGCTTCACTTCTCCAGACTCCCCAGTAGGTTCAGGAGCCTCCTCTTACCACTGCACATCACTGCATTGCTGCAGTAAGCCTGGAACTATACAATTGCCAAAAAGAAAGAAAGAAAGAAACAAACAAAAAAAAAAACCACCAAACCACTATGCCAAGGTTTCTTTGAGTTACTTGCAAAAGATAAAGTTGTCCCAAAACAGAAGAAATGCACACACACAGCATAAAGGACAGTTGAGATAGTTAATATACAGCAGTAACATAAAGATCATCATTGTAAGGTAGATAGAAAAAGATGTTGTATTACATATCTATGTGCAATTTGGAAGGCTGATAGCAGCACTCCCAATGACTTCAATAGTGTTTCTGATTGCTTTCAATTCTGAAAATCCAAGTGGAGTTTACAAAACACCAAGAATAGTCTTACCTTGTACTTCTGGGTAGAGGGACATGTAGAGCAGGCACCACAATATCGTGTTGGAAGTAGTATCTGTGCCTGCAATGAACAGGTCTCCAATGATAAAAAATAGGTAGTCTTCATTAAAACTGCTCTCCTTGTTGTTCTTCTCTTCTTCTGCATGGAGGAAGTACATATCAATGAAGTCCCTGGGATTTGCTGCATCCAGTGTATCCCTGTGCTGTGCAATTATTTTCTTTAGAAAAGCAGTAATATCTAACTCTGTTTTTCTAAGCTCCCTGAAAGGCCCAAAGGGAAGGTAGTACAGCCATGGGCAGATGTTGACCAGGATCATAGAGCTGTTCACACTTAGCTCCAGTGCACGGGCCATGTTCTTCAGCATCGTCTTGAACTCAACATCTTCATAATTGAAACGCCTGCCAAAGGCCATGGAGCAGATCACATTAGACACTGCGTTGCGAATAATTGGGAAGGGATTGAATGAATCCTTGCCATGCTTCAGCATTTCTTCCTTTATGAACTTCAGCTCCTCAATGATCTTAGGCTCTAAGCTATGTCTTCCCACTCCAAAATGCCGCAGTGTTGCAAGAGAGAATTTCCTCTGCTGCTTCCACACAGGGCCATAAGGTGCAAAAATAACACCTGGAAGGGGAAAGAACAGTCTGAAACAAAGCTGTTCTGTTTTCAAGTGGAAGGAGGAGAAACAGTTACACGGGCCTGTCAACCATAAGCCAAAAGACGGGGAAAAGATACACAGCAACTGTCCCAAGCGTTGGATTTGGAACTAGAGGAGGAAGAATTTCAGTATTCTGAGATGCAAAGATGCAAATTCTTTGAGCAAGACAGGGTATGTGATATTAAAACACCAATTCTTTCCTTTTCTGTTCTACTGATTTCTCACTGTTTGTGTGCACACAGTCCTGCTATAAGTATTGTTTTTACAAAGGATACACATGCTGCAAACAAACACGGAAAGTGAAGAAAGATCCAGAGCCACGTGGCAACAACCTGATTTGCATCTCTACATTTCAGTGCCTCTAGGCACACGTTCTGCAAGATAATATCACTATGAAATAAAGTTCAGTTCCTCAGCTTCATATAAATATTGCTCATTTACAAACAGAAACATCCCTGCTGCACAACCAAAACAAATTCTTTCTAATACTCCACAGTTAACTTGAGAGTGTTTAAAGTCATCAAAACAAGGGCCAGTGCTGCTTTCGTTCTCCTAATATTGTGACATCATCAGTTCTGCCTGGCAATAAAAAGTTACTTTATAAAAGCAACATCAATTCTTCTATCAGATGCAAATCTCAATGCTAAGTTTAAATGGAAGAGGTCACAAAAAATTGGCAACAGAAAGATGCACCATTTTTCTATATTCAACATCACCTACATTTCTCTTAAGACTTCATGTATGTAGCCCTGGTAAACAAGTAAGAAATCTGTGGATAGAAATCTGCAGATGAATGTTCTCTGAAGCGTCTCAGCTCTGGACAGCCTGATCTGGTGGGGGGCAACCCTGACTGCAGCAGCGGGTTGGAACTTGATGATCCTTAATGTCCTTTGTAGCCCACTGGACCTGCAGCTGTTGCCTTCCCAGTATAGTGCAGGTTGTGTACTCCATTCTGCACCCAGTGAAAGCACCTACAACTTCCAGCAGCCTTCAGAGAAGCTCCTAGTGCTGGGCCAGGCAGCTCCTGCAGTCCGCAATACGTATCCCTACTCCTTTCTGAGCATCGTACACTACTCCTATAGTTCACTTTACAACACCAGGGGAGGAATTCACCTCCTTGTGACAGCTACTGTCAAGCGATATATAATGATCTGGAAGAACTAAAGGTGCTAAAGGTGATGGAGCGCTGGATCGGGCTGCCCAGAGAGGCTGTGGAGTCTCCTGTGCAGACATTCAAGACCCGTCTGGATGCCTGCCTACCTGTGCGACCTGCCGCAGGGAGTCTGTTTCAGCAGGGGGCTGGACACACCGACCTCTCGATGTCCCTTCCAGCCCCCGTGCTTCCGTGCAATTCGGACCGTTTTACAGACAGACCTCACCTCCCGTAGCTCCCTATTCCCAAGCACGGCTGCAACGACCTTCCAGATGGAACCCAGCGGCACGACCCTGCCGCAGCGCCGTACGGGGAGCCGCATCCCTCCCACCGCTGCCGCGTTCGCTCACAGCACGGCGCACGCCGCTCTTGCCCTCTCCTCCCCCAGGCCGCGCAGAGCGGGGCCGCCGGCGGACCTCGGCCCGCGGCCGCTACGCGCGGAGCCCCCCCAGCCCCTTACCCTTGTTGTGGGTGATCATGAGGACGATGGGGACGGAGGGCCGGTCGCTGAACACCTCCGCCTTCTGCACCAGCGCCTCCCGCACCGCCCCGAAGGTGTTGAGGACGATGAAGGGCCGGCTGCCCACGAAGAGCCGGAAGATGCCGCCGTACATCTCGGTGAGGCCGGTGAGGAAGACGTGCGGGGAGAAGACGGGGGAGCCGCGGCCGCGGCCCCACACCTCCAGCACCCACCTCCGCAGCAGCGGCGGCGGCAGCAGGGCGAAGGCGAAGTTGCCCACCAGCGGCCAGGGCGCGGGGCCCGGCGGCAGCCCCGGCGGCGCCCGCGGCCGCAGCAGCCAGTAGCAGCCCAGCCAGCACACGGCCGCCAGCAGCAGCTCGGTGGCGGTGGGGGCCCGCAGAAGCCACTCGCCGCCCGCCGCCATCCTCTCAGGTGGCCGGGCTCGTCCCTACCCGCCCGCCCCCCCCTCGGCGCGTAGCGGATTAAGATGGCGGGGGCGGGCGGGCCGCGGGGGGGCGGGCGGGAGGCGAGGCCTGAGGCGGGCTGCCCCAGCCTCGTGCGCCGCTGGGCGTGGGCAGAGACAGCCGCGAGCAGCTCGGAGGTGTTCTTGGTGAACGCCTACAGCCCTTCAGAGCGAACGCGACTTCAGCTCTCCGCCCAGGGCAACGCCCCCTTGAAACAGAGCTCGGCACCGGGGGCTCAGGTGCCACGCGAGGTTACTGCGCGCTCCGCGAAGCAGGTGCTGCGGCACCGCGCCTCGAGCGATGGTGATAGGCCCTCCTTAAAGGCTCTCTTTCAGGCTTTTCGAGTGACTCAAGAGAGTGCTTAAAGAAATAGAAGGACAAGAGGCTCTTAAAATAGTAGCTGGACTACAATGAAAAGGTTTTATTGCAACTAAGTGTACAGAAGTTACAGGAATTGTAGATACACGTCAAGCTTCCAGCGGTCAAGGTCTGTTTTACTCCAAACAATTAAGGCAACTGTATGCAATCTCTTTCATCTAGTATAAACAGCAAGAGGATCTTTCACTACCGCTGAAACAAAGCAGAAATTAAGATCCCATTGGAATCACCTTAAAGCAGAACAGAATGCAGTTTTATTTTGTCCGTATTTGGCAGAATTTCAGTGGTTCAATTACAATGTTCACAAAAGAAACACCTATTAGAAAAAAAAAAGCATCAGATAATATGAAAATTTAGCTGAACAAAAGAAAATCTGAGTCTCAAGGGAAGTTTCACGTTCTGCAGTCTGTCCATACTTAGTTAAGCTATTTAGCACATCTGAAAAGTCATTAAGTTTTCTATAGT